TTTCATCAAAATCTTAATAGGCCTAAAATGAAGAAGATGAATGAAGTTCTACGTTGGAATACTATTTCATTTTAATTTATGTCACTACCTTTGTTCACTACACTGAATATTCAAACTCCACCAGCATTTGTTTTAACTTTCTGCTTGCATAATTCCGTGTTTCATCAGTAACTTCTAAACGTTTACCCTCTGAAAGTGGGCTACAATTCAACTAGGTTGTAGTGTTCCTTTTACATTTCCAATTAAAATAATTTTCTCTAGGACTTGTGCTCACTAGAAATGTCTAATTCACATTTACAATTAAGACGTCAAAACTAATCCGATTTAAAGCAATGGGATTTGATTAATAGAGACGTGATCATCTTATTGAGCCTCTCTTACTGGTAGATTCAAGAGTTCTAGCAAGTGTCACATGATCTCAAACTCCACTAGCGACAGTTTGACCAGTATCTCCAGCCTTATAAGAAATTATCATGAATGCGTGTCTTGAGCATTCATTAGTATTTGTTTACAACAAATCTGCAACCAATTTAGAATGGCTATCTGGGTATATAAGCTTCACCTTTAAGTAAGTACAATATCCTTAATAATTATTTAAATGAATTTTAGTAAATATTAAAAGATTGCGTGGTTCCATTAATATGATAGAGCATAGGGCATCGTTGCGTTACACCCAATCATAACGGATTCCTCAAGAAATTGAGTTATACGTAGTAGTGCTTTCAGTTCGAATTTCGTTTTTTTGCGATGATTTGGTGATGTGAGTCCTCAAGAATGGCTTTTTCATGCTAACATGTGAAGCAAAAAACAATGAGATCACTTGCCATAAAGAACCTAAGAGGACACAAAATAAGCGCAGGATTAATCGGAAGAGTTTTGGTTGTGAAGAAGAGGAGCATTAGGGAGAGAATTTGTCTACCGCTTTCAATGTGACATACTAGGAGGACTTAAGGGGCAAAGAATCACCAAAGTGTTTAATGCGCCTTAGTAGTGAAAGTGAGAGAGAGTGAGTGATAGCTCTACAAAGCAGGGATGATGTTGGCAAAAGGAACTGATTGTAAAACTTAACTAAGGAATGTCAAGTTTTGGAAATTAGAATAAATAACGGACAATTACCATCAAGCAAGGAACTTAGAAGTCATGATATGATAAATTATGGAACGAAAAGAGGAAGGAACTTGTTGTTGCAAGGTCGTTTGAATTTCGGCAAGAATTATGATTGACAAGCAGATGTACATATTATAAATCAGTTGTGATCTGAAAAGGCCAATCTTAGTCAACTCAAGGAAAAATGGCCTTTAAATAATTCTTCATTAATCTGTTTCAAAGGATTACTCAATGCCATTATCTCTTCCTTATTTCACTTCCAGGAGACTAAATAACAGGAGAAATTGTGCATCTCAAGTTTGCTTGAGTCTGCAGTTTATTTTATAATTATTAAGTGTTTAAAATATTTTTTATGATAGGTTCAACGGGGTAGTAGAATATAGCTTTAATAAGAATTTTCAATTTCCTTAAAACCAATATAACTTCAGAAAGTGACTGTAAACAATAGCAAAAATTTACAATATTCGACATTAGCAAGATACATATATTCCGACTTTATAAATAAAATTAAAGCTTTTCCTCAAGAAAGTGGCTGCGCCCAAATTTTTGGGGAAAAAAATTTTTAACGAAATAAATAAATATGCATATTTTTTCGAAACTCCTTCCTCCAATAATCACATTTGAATCACTGAAATGTAGCCAACGAATGATGCATAGTCAAAAATTCTTACCTCTACACACATAGTCGCTAAGTTAATTATAAAATTTATTATCTATCTAATTACTGATTGCACAGTGCAGCACCCAATATAAACCCCTTATAAGCAAGTTTTACGCGTCTTAGGCATGGAGCGTTCATGCAGTAAACACCACCAACGATGTCAGCGCACTGATTCCCGTTATCGACATCAGCAGAAGAGTCACAACTGTAGGGGCAATTCAGACAATGTAGCAAGGAATTACTATCCAGTAGGCGTTGATCACCGACGTTCGAGTATGCATCGTCGCCAGCCTGTTGGATACGAGGAAAGCCGCCACAGAAAACCCACTAATCACTATCACAACACCAATCACAACTGCCATCATAAACAATATTATGACAGTCCTTATCGTTATAGACGTGATACCAGTAGTGGAGATACCTCAAGCTATACAAGTACGAGCTCGAGCGAGAGCTATGAAAGAATGCCAAGATACAGTGGTGGGGGTGGTCATTACAAGAGACGTGGTAGAAGAACACCATCACCAGTGACAGGTCGCAGTTCAAGAAGAAGTAGTGATGACTCGAACTTTACTCCCTTGAACTACGGTACGCCTGGTTGCCCTGGATGTCAACAGCAGCAACAGTGGGCTCAGGGGTATGCTCCACCAATGGGAGGTGGTCAGGCACCCCCACCTGCTCAGGGGGGATGGAAGCAGGTCCCCGCCCAACCTTACGGTCAACCGGCTCCAGCAGGTCAACAACCGCCTCAACAACCTCAAAATAAACCCCCTCCGCCGGAATTAGAGGAATTACGAAAGAACGTTTTTAAGGGGATTAAGGAATTTAGCAAGAGTTTAAGAAATCAACAATGGCTAGGTGACATTGACTATCTTAGAAGAAGTCGCAATGTGAAACATGGGCACAAGCCAGAAACCCTGGAAAAACATCGACAGGAATCAAATAGAAGAGATTGGGTACCAATTTATTGAGGTATTGATAATTTTTGTTCGTTTTCCATCCCTTTATTTTGTTTCGGATCAGTTGAGTTATAAGTAGTATCACAATATTCAACTGTGGCTTTCTGCACCTCTATCTGTAAACATCACATTTTTTTCTTAAGCTTTGGTTGTAATAAAATGATTATTGCTTTGAAAATGGTAACAATAACTGATGATATAAAAATTACATCATTGCTGCATTTTATGCCATTCATCTTTTCCATTAATAAACATTTATGTATTATTATAATATTATACAGTTGGGCCATTTAATTGTAAGCATTCGAGAGTTAGTAATATTGGTTACTTCGAGAAGCCTACGACATTAATGCCGTTTAGCTAAAATTCATTTATGAATTAATACAAATATGTACTTATGCGTGTTCAGAATGAAGAAAATTAAACATTAATTATTTAAGTCTACCAATGTGGTATTTTCGATGCAAAGAAACACTTTTCATGGTGATTTGAAGCAATTTTTTAAGTTAAAATGAATTAATTTTATTGATTTTTGGCATTAGATTACAGCGCATTACACAGAATTTAACATAACAGCGTATTTGCCTTTAAATAATTTAATTATTTGTCTCCTTCATTACTAATAAGATCCATCAATTTCAATTATGACACGAATTGATATTCCCAACTTTGCACATAATTAATCGAATTTTAAACGCAGTGTCTGATTCTTTTGGCAAAAAAAAGCAAATGGCTTATGGTCCATGGCAATGGAGAATAATTCGAGATTTTATTTAAGAAATATTAATTAAATACTAAAAATAGCAAACTGTCATTTTTTGGACACAATGAATGTCCAGTATTGGTATAAAATGAAGTAGCGTTACTCAAAGCGATACCTTATTTAATGTCAAAGTCTGTAAGTTGTCAAATTTCCTAAGAGGGATATAGTTTTCACCGTAGTGACCAATTACTTTTAAATTTTATTTTCATTATTTATAATCCCGAAGTATTAGTATAGAAGTAATAGATTAATTTCAACTTTACTTTGAGCGCCTGTGACATTGGAATCGTTTTTGTCCCAGTTTCATGTCAATTTACAAGACACAGCATATGCAGTTCACAGAGTACTCTCACCAGCACTTCACAATGAGAAGCAAGTAAAATTACTAAGACTACATTACTATTATTATTGAGCATACTTAACTTCACCTTGAGGTTATTCACGTGACCTGTTGTGTGCTTAAAAAAAGTTTCAGCCAAATTATCTTGTCATTTCCAAGAAAAAGCTTATCTTCTCTATTTTTAGATAAATGATTTTGTAACGTTAAAGAACGGAGAGGGTGACCATTTTCAACTCCTTGATTAGATAAATTTAAAATGAAGGTGATTGATAAAATGTAAATGAATTCGAACTCGCACAATTGTATACAATATCTTTTTTTATACTTTTAAACCTCCGACCTTGATAGGTAAAGTAAAATTATTTAACCTACATTAGAATTCTCGTTTTGAATAGCAAATAACTGGATTTCAAAAGTAAAAACACGTAATTCACCTCGAACCACTAATTTTGCCTTTCTTTCCAATGAATACTTCACTGAAACAAAAACATATACTTCACTTTATTCGTTTTGGAAATGACCTGTTATCCAATTAAATTAAACGATAATGGGCAAGATTCTTAAATTTAGAACTATAAAGAGGAACTATGATCGCTAAAAACGCTTAAATTGATACGACAGTGCAATAATTTACTAATATTCTTTTCTCAGTCTTACGATTCACCAAATCAATGAATAGGAATAAATGAACTAACTTGAAACTTTTAAATTGGAAATGTGTCACTAACTGCGGTGAGGCTAAAATGGTTTCGCCATGTGTCAGACATGTATGCACAAAATAAAGACATCTTTGCTGAATGTTATCTACATATTTTTCAACATTTATACGATCTCTATAGAGACAATTGAGAGCACGGCTTAAATATGCGCCACATAGCAGAAAGAGGGTTATGTGTGCCCTATAGATGGTTAGATGAGTGGATCAAAAGAACGGAGGATAGACCAAAGAAGAATGAGAAATGATCCTCGATTGACAATTTGGCCTAATCAATAAGAAACTTAAGGATATCTAACGAGCCAAGGTCATCGAACAGTATGAGCTTAACACTTTTGAAATGGGGCATCTTTTTAAAGTAAATATTTTGACACAAAGGTGGAGGGTTATTAGCAGATTAGTTGTGAAGGAGAGGGAAGGTATATGTATGCACGCTAAGCTCTTTATATGAGAGTGAATAGAAGTTTAAGTAAAAAAAGCGTAGTTGGAGAATACAATAGTAAGAACTCAAGAGCAAGACAGTCAACATTATATAAGGACATCAACTCAATTTGACCAACAAGTCCTAGTGACTCAAATATACTTTCGTAAAGCACATGATTCGAAGATATAGAGTTGAAAGTATACCATGAAAATTAATAATAGTAAGCATTTCTCTGATTCCCGAAAGTCGAATTACATATTTGCACATCCTATTTCGACCCTCTTCTTTCACTACTATACAGGCATGAAACATTTTATAACAAAAGGCGAGCACTTTGAACCAATGAAATACTATTTACTACGAATGTGTGTATGTAGATAGAACAAACGATGACAATAAGCTTAATCAAATTATGATTTGTTCACGTCGAAATTACAGGCTTTTTATTTCGGACAAAATATAAGTGGTGATCTTTCATTGCATCCACTGGTTTCTCGAGCTAAAATAAAATATTTTAAGTTATACATATGCATGCAGTAAAATAATTATTAAAGTGCTGAATAAGAAGTAATGCAACAAATACCTTAAATCCAATTGACGAAGCTATATCTTGAGCTCTCTTAACGTAACCACGAATATTTTCCTCCTTCAAGCCAATTATGTACCTTAAAAATAAAGAGAACATTTATATATCTTACAAAATTGGTTAAAATACCAAATTTATCTCCGGTATCGTCTACTTACAAAACAGATTCAATTATAAGCTTGCAATCATCGGTGCATATGTCAAGTAACTCTCCAGACGCCTTTTCAAGATCAACTAGAGAGGAAATTCCGACGTAGATAATAGACGCTTTATTCGTGTCGTCAATAAATTTCGAACGTAATCGGGTGGTCAAATCTACGAATGTTGTTCCTGGCGAGTAGAAATCCATGAAAAATTTTTCGCATAAATTGACTTCGGCCTCAGCTATTTCTGCTAAAATTATATAAATCGCTATTAGGAAAATTGAATACATATAATTAAGGAGTTTATTGATAAATGATAGGTATTTAAATGTAAATATTTTCTTACCCAAATCTAAAGAGTTTAAATAAATGGTATGGATTATCGAGGCCATTAAGGTAATCGCTCTTTAACACTCATCTGCAATAAAGGCGCCAAAATTACAAATAGTTGAGTAGGGGAAAGCCGAATTTTGCCAGTTCTTTAATCTGGGAGTCATAAGGTATCGCTTTGGCATGCTAATCCAATGGTACGCTCCTAGATTAGCCTTACGTCTCAAATTTGAGCATTAAATACTGCGTCAGAATCGTATATTAGCATGAATGATGAAAATATATACCAGTCTAAGAGCTATTTTAGATATTTAAATCGCCATAGGTACTGTTTTGTAGACTATGACAGCCACCATCGAAATTCACAAATATTTGTAATAGGAAAGATTGTGTCCACCATCAACTCTTAGTTATTTTTTCCCCAACTTTTTGTTAAAACACAGTCAAGACTGTTATTCAGTATCTAATTAAAACGAAAGATAATTGGTTAATAACATACTGACTAACACATAAACTGCGCAACAGAACAACACCTCAAAAAATAGAATTCCGTGCACTTAATTTAGCAACAGTCGCTTTGAACACAACAAGTGCAACATCATTTAAAAAGAAGCCTTCTAAAACAATCAACGAACTCAAGGGTTGAGGTTGAATGACTTCTGTTTATTCCCACCATCCAATTAACAAAATTCAAGCGAATACACTCTGTACTTCTCTACTTATAGCAAGATTCAGAAGAATAATTAAAATCCAATATGACAAGTACTGTTATTGGCGCAATCTTATAAAAAGGAGATTTATCCGAAGAGTCATTGACAAATGGACTAAATTTAGCAAACAAAAGAAGTTTGAAACCGTCTCGAAAAATCTTCGCAATGGTTCATTACATTTGGAATTGAAATAGTAAGTTATTGATTTGTTACTGAGCTAAAGAAGCGCCAATTGAAATGGACCAAATTTATCTGAGAAAATGATAGAGGCACACTAAAATACTTAGACAATATCATCTAGAATCGTAATTTTGAAGGACTAGTGGAATTGAAAGTCATTAAAAAAAGACTTGCTTTCATTTGCATCGGCACAAAATTCAACAGATGCTATGGATGCTGGCGCTTTTTTCCCATTTTGCATTTCCCACAAAAGACAACGCAAGTTTATTTCGGATAAAACTGCCGCGCCATAGACTATCCTTCCACCTGGAAGCGTTTTTGAATGTTCTGGTGATCGGTCAGTGAAAGTGCCAAATGCTAAATAGGGTGAACATACGATATCTCCCCAGTAACCAATCAGAGTGGAACCTGCAAGATCATTCCTAGCATGACGATATGAGAAGTATCGAGGTGACGCGAGACTCCGGTTTGGTGAAAGGTAACTCGCCTCACGAGGTGAGAAAGCAACGCCACTGCTTCGCCAGCGACCATATTCCTTGCTTTCAAATGTATTAATCTACAAAATATTTTTTTTGTATATTAAGCATTAATTGACAAACAAAATTAAATGTGATAATGCCACTGAATATAACTCAAAATTGTAGCATATACAGGAAAAATAGACTTGTTAGGTGAAATAAATCATAATTTGCATTAATTCAAGCAAGCATTCAGCACAATTTGCACATAATGGCCTTCAAAGCTCGGGTCCAACTGCTGTAGCATTCTAAATAACTCAACCAAAACCCATAGAAGCGCAAAAAAATTTGCAGCTCCCTTAGCTACTTCCCATTGATGGAATATTAGTTTGAACTTTCTTTGTGAATGTGTGTTTATTAATTGGGAATGGTTGTCTCATTTATCATGTGTACCCTCACAGAGTTTTGGTTCTATTACAAAATCAGACTAAAATTAGGCCCAATCTCAAATCAAGAACAAAGTAATTTAACACATTTAAAAGCACTACCTTCGAGTTTCACGTTGCGCCCACAATCCCTATTAAATAGTGCATTGCCAGTCCAATTGAGACAGTTGAATTATGGCTTAATTAATCATTTAATTCCAAATTACTGCATCGATTTGAGTTTATATACTGTTATATTGGAAATCTTGGATTGAAAGTGAGCATTCTGGGATTGACGCTTCCGGTCGAAAGAAATGAAAATTATTACGGCTAATTGAAACAATTGCAGTCCACTTGAATCAGAATGATAACGAAGCAATTTACCATAAATAATGCAACTTATTATAAATAAGTAAAATAGGCATTTCGAACTTACTCCTCGATCTCTAAGAGTAATGGAGCAATCCCAGTCAAAAACATTAGGAATAGCATCATAGCGCACGCCAAGGTGTTGGCGAACTCTCGAATTCCTAAAATGAACGGCGCTTTGTACTTATTTCTAACAAGAGACAAGTATATGCCGATGCAAAATTTATAACTTAAAGTAAATGCTTGTACACAGTCGCAAAAAATGGGAAAACAAACCAATATGTGGATATGTCGAATTTGGGGAGGTTCTTCCGCCGCCAAGTTTTGAAAGTGCATTCCAAATGGTCCCGATGTTTTGATTTTAAATTATTAATAGAAATATGAGGGTGAAAGCTATCGAAAACTCCTGTATCTGTGATAGTCCTGAATTCTCAATACTTAAAGAAAATTTAGGAATATACCGAATAAATTTTGAAGCAGTTTCATCCAACCATATCTCAGATGATTCACGAATAAGGGAATTGCCATAGAGTTCAAGAAATAGTTCGGTCTTTTCTTCAAGAAAAATTATCCCTATGGATAATTACCTTGAATTCCAAGCTCCTCTCTCGGCATGCAAGCTATCTGAATCTGCAGAATTTGTCGAGCAACTAGTTCAATACTACTTTCAAAAATGTTAAACTTTCAATAAGACTTTATTTCTTTTACTTTAAAGTTGCTAGAAATATCTCTAGATTGAGAAATTGATTTTATGATATTTCGACCATCACTCAACCCGAAACAAAATACATTAACTGAGACATTTGAAATGCAAAAAGCTATTACCATTTTCACGATCTTCATTAAATCCTTCAAAGATATTAATTGCTGGTGTTAATCCCCACCAAACGATATAACCAAGAGCCTCGGAATCGTTTATCAACATCCCTAAATATTCGTAAATTTACCATTTGGTATCTGTGACCATGGATGAATTAAACACTTTTGCCATATAATGATAAAACAAAACAGAAGTATAGTCAAGTTATTAAAAAACAGCATTATTTAATTTTATTTAAACTATTTTGCCTTGTGTATAATATATTCGAAACCAATAGTAAATGTTGAAATATTATGTTCATTTGCAAATGCATATATAATTCATTTCAAAAGAGATTTTAGTACTTCTTTCAGAAATTATACCTTTCATCTATTCATTAATATGATGCGTGTTTTCTAAAACCTTACTAGTTATTCTGAGCTATTTACCTCGCATATTTTATTCGGTTGATATTTAAGCAACAACTATATCTATATTTATGACTTATAATCAAACAATACTAAACAAAATCAAATACATTACAGATCTTGAGCAAATAGCATTGTGTCTTTGTTGGCCATCAAACTCGAGCTAAATATATTCAGCATTTGAAGAATCATGAAAGATAAAATAATAATCACTAGGTGATGACTCGAAAACTTTGTCATTAACATAAATCGTGCATGTCAATATTTTCATAAAAATAAGGTAGTTCAAGGTAATAGATTGTATGCCTCTATTTTGGCTAATTATTTTATCTTGCTTGGTGGAAATATACAAACTATTGTAAAGATAGGCAGACAAATAATCAGAGAAGAATATTCGCCTAAACTAGAACTTAGAATAACTGCAGATTCACGAGAATAAACCAAATTCTACTTAAAAGGACTCAACTTAAAGAATTTGACTAAAAAATGCACTATAGTGTATAACAGCTAATAAATATCTTTAGTATATTTGTGCTCAAATATATAGTCAATTCCTTTAACTTTATACACTTTTAGGCCTGAGTTCACATCATGAGAAGCTGCTAAAAACGAATTTTCAACAATAACTTTAAGTATTTATTAATTGCGCGTTATCCATGGTACTCGCAACCCAATGTAATGGACTATTCATAATATATTTGTAAAAGGTACTTTGTTATAATCAGTACTTATGCTTTTCAATGCACTACTTAGATTCTATTATTTCAGATTCAGGCCTAATATAAATGAAATGTCCTTAAAAATGATATATTTTATATGCCTGGATATCGTTTTTAATAGCAAGTAGCAGAAAATAACTAAACTGTAACCTATTCGAATGCAATAATTGCAGTATTTATTGATGTATTCTTTCTTTTAGTTAAACCTTCAAAAATATCTTTTGTCATTTTGAGTTATTTCAATGGAAGCCTAATTGGCATATTTAAATAAGGTATGCTACTGAAATGCCCGTACGTGCAACATTTGGCGAACGATTCTCCAGTCAAACTGCAACAGCGCATACAGATGTAGTAGATAGGTTGAAATTTAGCGGAGCGGATATATCTTTGCTTGCCTCCACAAGAGTTTAAGCAGTAATGCAATCATTTGAGGCCTGATTAAACACCATTCAGTACATGAGAAGGAAGGCGTTTCTAATCCTCTGAAGTGTCCGCTTGAGAGCGACAACAAATCGTTATTCTTAAATTTCGATTGCTGTATAAAGACCCAGATAAAAGTTTTGAAAAAGGGAAGAATTTTAGTGCATACTGTTTTCTTAAACACTGCTTTCTAGTAGTCTACGAGGTAGAAATGCATGTTAAAAGCTACCGTTCGACAGTGCAATTGTGGTAGACTCTTGAGGGAAAATGCTATTCTTTGCTTGCTAAACAATAGCAAGTGTACTCTAAACATCCAATGAAGATCCCTTAAGTCAATAAGGAACACGATGAGTATTGAAATTCAGCAGATTACGTGAATAAGCAAGAGGCTGTAGAAGGTCCTTCTAGTGCAGGTGTTTAAGTTCACTGAACACACTTGACGAGGCTTCCTGTGGAACTAGTCACTTAGGGCAGAAAGCTGGCTTAGCATCCAATATCAGTATTCCTTCTTCTCGGAATTCATTACAAACATCAGAACTATAAAATATCACAACGAAAAGCCAGTCCGTAATCATAAACTGCTCCGCTTTAACTGCTCCCAGAAAGCGATAATTAAAAAAGTGATATTTGCGCCAGTTTAGAACAACGAAAGGATTAATTTGGAAGATATACACGCGTTTTTGCCTTTAATAGGTTAACCTAGTTCAAAATTTGCATAGTGTACACCAGGGCCATGAGATGTTTCTATTTGGAGTATTTAGATAATGATTTTATCGACGATATATTTATTGAAATTAAACTGATACTGCCCATGACTGGTTCATTCTAACGTAAAATTTGTTTTCCATTCGGGTTTCTTCGTTGATTGTCTGTTATCCTTGCCTTATAATGAAAAATTATTGCCACAAATTTTGCTAGTGATGGACCATGTGCGAAGACACCAGTATCATTCTATCGCATTTTTTTCAAATACTGCTGTCAATTTGTACAAAAATATTAGTAAGAAATTTGGAATTTTATTCTAATTTATACCAGATAGCGGCTTTATGACAATTCTACAACCTTTAATGATTTTCAGTGACAGATTTTCACAAATTGTATCAAACGACAGATAGGCATATAAATTAAGCTGATAGTTATTGTTAAATAAGTATAAGATTAATAAAACAAAAAATACTAGATATATATAAATAAACCTCTTGAAATGGCAGTAAACCCATTTAAATGGGAAAATTTTTCTAAACCGAATGATGCACGAGCCTGTTTTTTTTCAAAATTAATTGATTTGCTAAAATTTTGCATGAGCATTCTGTTCCTTATTGAATTTGTATACTAAAACAAATGATTAAATTCAAAGAACGGACAAAGTGTAAGCAAGTTAGTTTTAATAGAAAGATAATTCATCACATTAGTATAATACAGAGTATTACAACCAAAAACAGTGTTAAAGAATATATTATAATAACTAAAAGATAAATTGAAAATTATATGTCCACAAACTTTAACACTTGTGCATTAAATTAATCATTTAATATCAAGGACGCGGCGGCGGTCTGTATGAAGTCATAATTTGTCCTTGAATTATTTGTAGTAAATGCAGAATTTATTTCAAAGCCATCCGTATTCCACTCGAGCAGGAACTCTTATAGGTAATTGGATTTTCGTTATGTGATCTACGTATATCTCTCTGTTTGTTGCTGTTAAACGCTTTTTCATACGTTATATTACAAAATATAACTTTAGTTTATGATTTTTATAATTTTGTTTATTTATTTGGTGAATATTTCTGGTTACAAATAATGAGCTTCTTGATGTGGTTTTGTAATAGTTGATTCACACTTATTATTAATAACGTATGAGGCGTTTAATTACACTTCAAAGCATTTTAGCTAGCTTCTCTATAACGAACTGTTTCATAAACTCTGCATTAAGTTCTTTTACCCACAAATAATTATCTATAATATTATTTTTAGCCTTAAGTTGGTTTCTTTTCTTCATTTTAGAACGTGCTACCGACAGTGGAAATTTAGCTGTAGATTGGACAATTGTTTTGGAAATATGTGATGCTCTAGGTGAAACCGATGAAGGGTACTTTATGCCGTATTCTTGAAATTTAAACTTTATAGACCACGAGATGCGATTCGGGCTATTCGAAAACGTTTGACATCCTCAGCTGGAAAGGACCACATCAGCATCTGGTATACCCTCATTCTTATTGAGGCCTGTCTCAAAAACTGTGGACGTCGTTTTCAAGCTCAAGTCGCCAATCGTGATTTCCTTCACGACCTCATTAAGGTTCTACTCCCTAAACACAATCCTCCCATTCAACTCCAAACAAAGATTCTTTATATGATTAAGGTGCGGTTTCCAATATTTTTTTAAAGCTTCCATTTAGCAAATAGCAAACATTAAATACCCCGATTTTAGTAGCATTACCTTTTTACAATTTTAGACTCATTCGTTAATTACTGGAATTTAAAAGTTTGATATGATTGTTCGTGCGCCTTTTGTATGTTATCTGACTGTTGGACTTCTCCTGTTTTATTCAATTATAAATAGTACCTTATTGGTTTCAGGCTCCTTTGAATTTTTCAAGAAGTGGGGGAGATAATGACGTATTATTTTAGCATTTTACCGAATTTGAAGCATGCACTTATTTCGTTATTCAAATGTCGTTCACCCTTTCTAGTCATTTTTTGTGTACTTTTTTTCATAGAAGCCGAAATCCAAGTGTAAACTTGAATTATGCATTGTTTAAAGGGATTCGTACTAATTCATACAAACGACTTCAAGTTTAAGCGTTATTTTCAATGTATTAATTTGATGAGAAGAGTTTTGCTCAGCGCATGTTTTCGAGAGATTTATATGGGCAAAACAGAGTAGATTTCTTTTTGAATTAGCGATAATGTAACCACTGTCTTCTTCGCCTTCACTTAGAATCGACGCACGTTGCTACTATTTTATGAATTCGTTGAAGGCAGAATTTTAATCATTTATTAAAGTTGTATAGATTTATTTTTTCTGTCTGTATTGAAGGGTAAGTATAAATGCATGTCTCAATCTTTGTGTTTTACCATTTAAAGTCTTGGGTCGACGCTAATTGGGATGTTCCTGGAAGACGTGATTTGGAAAAGGTTTACACTGCACTTCGTCGAAAAGGCGTCCAATTTCCAAACTCATTGAATTGTCAAGCTCCTCCTTTACCCCATCAACAATATTCAGCAGTGAGTTTGACCGTTTTTCTCGATGAAAATGTCTCTAACTTCGAGCTTCTTATCAACTCCTTCGATTGATCACTGTCTTAGCCAATGGTATTTCATCAGTGGGTAATTTAAGGGGGCAAAGTAGAACAAGCACGATTTTTCCCCAGTAAGGTTATTTTCAAATCAGCGTCCATAACTCCCAGCGCTGTTATTTATAAAGAGCACAGATTGATCAGATGTCCTCTTTATCTCCTGTGTAGCCGATTGATGTCAAATTTAATCCGGTAAAAATTGGGCAATGGGATTAGTTTCCTTGTAGCGATTGTAAACGCCGTTTACTTTTTTATATGTTTGGTTAAATTTTAATAAATTTAAAAATACCACGAAAGCATAATAATTACTCGCTTTTAGAGAAAAAACACACACAGGAAGTGCGTCTATGTTTTTTGCCCACATTTATTCAATAATTTTAGCAATATTCATTTCATTGTTTTCTTGACATTAAATACATTTTACCTGGTCTCTATAACAAATATTTTTCTGTTTCGACGTTAAATTAATTCCTTATTTTCTTCGCTTTTTTTTATTATTTTTATTATTTTATTTTTTTTCGCTTTCTAATTAGATCCAAGTTAAAGACGGAGTTTGATGTGGATATAAATTTTCGCTGAGTTAGCTAACTATTTGGCTGCGTGGTGTGAGACTTGCCTGTCTGTTCAGTCTAACTTCAAAGGTATTACCCCAAAACTACCTTTTAAAACTTCCAATTTGACAACGTACCAATTTGTTGTAAACTTCGACAACCACTCGTTAGAGCGGAAATATAGCGAGAAATAATAGCGAAAGTCGCTATGCCATTTCATCACTTTTGCTATAACTAGGGCTATTGAAAGTAAATCCCCATAAATCAACCTCAAAATTTCCCTAGACTTTGTGCCGAGTTGTGAACGCAATTTCAAGTTTGCATTCCAAGTGTCCGAAGCCAAAGATATTAAATGCCATCTCTTGGGAGTACAAATGCAGCTTGCTGTGTTTATATCTTAGCAGCAGGATTTGGCTCTATTTGCTACACCTCAAGGAATAGTCAACTTCCACTCCCAAAGCACGTAAGGCCTCCAAACTGCTATATCTTCACACGACGTGCTGTTTTGTTTTGGGAGGCCGCTGTCGAGGTAGACCCCAGTCACCGCCGTGCCAGTACCACAAGAGCCAGCCACGTAGTGAACAAGATGAGAGCATTTTTGATGCCCCTCTCATGGAAGGTGTAAAACCTGTTTGATCCAGATTCCCTGTCCTAGGCTTGATTATGGGCCACTTTGAGAGTGTAAAATTAACATTAATGGCGACTATTTTGTGAAAAGCGCCTTATCAATAGCCTAATCTCCTTATCCATTGAATCCTTCACTTATCAACTCTTTCTTGATATTGCCAAGCTCAACCTGGGTGTCCTGTGAGCTGTCTTTTATCGATTGCAAAAGTAGTGGATTGAATAGTGTGCTGTTTCTCGATCTCCCCGTGTTCGGTTTACTGTTTTCGTTAGCCCTCTATTGTTACCTCAGAAATGTAAAGTGCAAATTGGAATATCGGACGGTGTGTGCGAAGTATTTGTCATTTATTTTTTTGTCCGCGTAAAAGAGGAATAATGACGTTAGTATTTACCAAATAGAAACCATTCAAGGCAGTGGATAGTAAGCAAGTCTAGATGGAACGTCTAGCTGATCAATTGGAGTACATTTTGGAATCAGAGGAGCTTGTTGTTTCCAAGCTTGGCGAACAAAATTAAAAAATATTTTCCCCATTTTTAAATTGATTTTAATGAATCTTAGAACTGTTCTACTATTCTATTGAGCTTCGAGGTTGGTCATAGCTGATACTGGTTAAGAATTTTGAGATGCAAGTTACTTAAATCATATTAGACGCCGGTGTTGAGGTAGTAGAAATCTGTTTTATTTTTTTTATTCTTTCACTGATGATTAGTTCTGAGGTCTAAGCAACACCCTGGGCTTTTAGCACTAAAGGCTATTTGCTCTGTCACAGACGCTTTTTTATGTCCGAATAGCAAGGTTTGGGAATAGCACACCGCGTCTAGGTTTGAACTTCGTTTTTATTCACCTGACGCAAAGGTTCTGGTTTTCAAACATTTTGACGCACTCATTGTAGGCCGAGGGGGAGCAATTTAGACTCATTGTGATACTTCGACTCACTGAAGGTGTACTAAATGCTATCAGACTCATGGTCACCGTAACCTTGCAGACCTTGCCAATTGACCGCTTCAATATGGCGAAATCATCTGTTATAAGATATTCTGCCAGGTGTTAGTGAAAATGCCATTAATAAACTAATTGCGAACAACGTTTAAAATTTTAGTAGACATCATAGAGACCATATCTGATGTAGTTCACAGTTTTATAACGTCAATTCCAACTGACAAGTCACATGTGGAGTGAGTGCCAGAAGTGGTCAGCCACATTCACTTCGTCACGTAAGTTTGAGCATTTTTACTCTACATCGCCTGTTTTCTTCGCCTTTCCAACATTTTGGTATTGTAAGTTTGAATTAAGTCTTACTGATTTGTTTCCCACTTCTATTTAAGCCATCATCAAAACGCATATTTGCCAAATTTGGCCCTAGAAAGTAATATTAACCGAGGGCACATCTTTACTTACCCCACCATGACCTCTTCGGTAAAGTTCTAAAGTTCACCCGAAGGACTATAACTATTTGCTTTAAATTCACTTTACTTTATCATCTGGTTTTGATAAGTAGAATTTACAATTGTATAAGAGGTTTATAATGCGCCAGATTAGTTGACCAATTTTATCCGAAACCAGAACCCACTCAATCTATCTACATCAGCGGGGTTTATGACCTTCCACTCTGAACGTAGCATTCATTTGCTTCCAACTCCTTAAGTTCTCAGAGGCACCTTGTGTAGAGGCCTTTTTACAGTAATTGGATGAATTTCATTGGTTGGCCTATTTATTTGACCTACAGAATTGATCGTTCCTAGTAAGTTTACTTGTTTCCTAGCACACATTTGCATCCGCCTCTCTCTCTCCTCAGAATCCCATTTAAATGTAACAAAATTTTTTTGCTCATTTTCAGCTCAGTTTCTGATCTTTCCCTCCTTTTTCCTCTTCTTCTTCTTTTGCCGATCATGAATATTTCATGTTTTCTGGCTAAAATTCTGCTTTAAATACCTGCCCAGTTTGTTTTCCTGCCTAACGTCCTAATAATCAAATGAAAAACTGCCATACAAACCTGTGCCTTAATATGCTGGTTTAATGAATCTGTCGATTTGATTGGTTAATTGGATAGTTGAATGGAGGGAGGCAGAAGCCGGGGAGGGGGGGGGGGGGGGGGCGGAGGGTGAGGGTAGGGGTTTGCGTTTGAAGGAACTTGTGACGGGGTGCGTGTGTGTGTGTGTGTGTGTGTGCGCGCGCTTGGGCTATGTTGAAAAGGTGATTGGATCGCTTAGTCAGTTTGACCTTTCCGGGTCGCAACACGCCACCATCCACTTAGGATCCGATCTCTACCTATAACCGCAGGAAGTGTGGCATTTAGT